AGTTGATATTAGTTTTTGCCCCCTCAATATTAAAAGTCATTAAATTTAATCCCGGTTGTAAGTCAATTGGTCTTGAGCAATGTTTGGTACCTTTTTCCGAGGCGGAAGGTATAAAAAATGATGTCCTAGGTTAGGTTTGTTATTCGATTGATCTCTCACTGGGTAATTGTTATCAGGATCAGTTGCCAGTTTAGCTTGGAACATCCATGCTGACTGGTCTGATCTTTCGTTCCTTTGGTTTTGCTTCTTTTGATCTATATGGTTGGCATTAACGGTACAATCTTTGTTTCCAGACCTATTAGCCAGTTTAGCTTGGAACATCCATGCTGACTGGTCTAACAGATCTTGTTGTTGTTCTTTTGTACTTTCCTGACTAGTATTTGTAGAGTAATCCTTTGCCTCATTAGAACTCATTTTCTGTTTGTTTTGATGTATCTCATTTTGGGAGCTGTCAATGATTGTTCTTTGTTTTATATCTTGTTCAGTTGGCTTTTTATTCCAACCATGGATTTGAGTTTAATCATAAAGACGTTGCTTCGGAATTTGTGGATTTTGAACTTTTGCATTACTTCTAAATGGCTGAGCAGTTGAGGCTTGTGGTGGCAATGAAAATTCCCTGTTTGATTGAATTTGCTGATTTGTGCTCATGTTCATATGCAAGTGTGCTGCCATGTTATAGTTTTGACGGAGAGGCGGTGGATGATTCATGAACATATTTTGTGGAATCATATGTCCGGGATGAGACATGGTTGACCCTGACAATGGCATTTGTGGTGGTTGTATATTTTGATAAAAGTATGCTGGTGTTATATAGTTATAATTTTGTGGTTGAGTATATGATGGAGGCGCCATATAAGTTGGTAAGTTTGCTGAATTTTGCAATTTTGCTATCGTCTGTTGTTGAATTTGTAGAGCTAATTGAGTTGTCATAGCTGTTTGGATCGAAAGATTTTGCATCGTCTGTGTTTCTAAGGCTTTTAATCTCATTTCCATTGCTTGAATCTCCATTTGTCTCTGTATATTGAGAAAGTAAAGGTCTGGAGAAGATTGGTTTTGATTAATACAGGTACATGAGTTTGAGGGTCTATTCATCTGGGTAAAGCTCGCATTATTTTCTGATCTTAGTTCTTCTCTTTTTTCTAAGAGGTTTATAGTTTTTTCATGTTCTCGTATTCTTTTTTCCAGTTCCATTATATAGGTTTTATTTTCTATAGACTTGGTTGTGGTTCTTTGCCGTGCCGATTGTTTTTTGTCTCATCTGATTATCTGAAGTGGCTTTTTGATTCGTGAGATTTAGGAGTTTCTACAACAGGTTTTTGTATAGATGAGCTTGAGTGAACTATGCTCTGTTTAGGTTCACCTGTGTGATCTCTAGGTCCCTGTATAACTTTTTTCGCAGGAAAGTTATTTTGTGCAGAGGTCGCCACTGATGATGGAGTTTTGGCTGGACTTATCTCTGGAGTTGTACCGGAGTGGATTATGATTCGAGATTGTGATTCTAAGATTGGCGAGTCTGCTAATGTTTGGAATAAAGTTGCAGACTGTTGTTTAGTCAAGAAGCTCTGAGAGTTTTTGTTGTTTTGGCTAGTGTTGTAAACATTGATTGTGAACTTGTGGTATGTGCCTGTACTTCCATCTTTCCTTTTATTATGTATCTTGTATCTAAGCTCAACTTCACTTTGTGAATTGTCTTTCCCTTTTTCAGAGCTAACAACATAGTCTGTCTGGAAAGCATGACTAAATAAGATGTCATATGATTTAGTCTTTACCAACTCAAAGGAAGCAGTATAATTTTACGTTTGACAATAAAATTGCTTTTGGCTTTCAGTTCACAGGTGATTGGTGCAGATAAACAATTAATCTTCTTTTTGTTTATTGCTACTTCTGGGTTAAGTTTATAGTCTTTATGTACCAAGCTAGCGTGGTTCTTTTGAGGCGATAAGCTTTGACGCATAAGGTTGGTATTAGATCGCTGGCTTCTGCGTAATGCTTGCGGTTGGCTTGAACCACCTGTCGCATATTTTGTGCTTTACTAGTACCACATTTATATTGACAATAAAGTAAAATCAAATATTTTACTACGATTTCTATATAAAAATTTCAGGCAGATTTTAAAATCTAAAAACTATTATGATGTCTATATACAACACAATGATGAATGTAAAATGTAATAGCAATAGTTAAAACAACATGTCCACGCAAGACAGAGCCTATGTTTATGTCTTCCTTATATATATTTCGGTCATTCTCCTCACCCAGGTTTTGGCTAAACGATTGGTAGGATGAATTCTATCTACTAGTAGTTGAAAGTTATACTTTTTCTTATTTTCAGCTCTTCTGTGATCCCCCTTTTTTACAGTTGTTTTGTATATGAGGTCCGAAGTAAATGATGGTGAATGCGAGTTGGCAACTCTGTTTAACTCCCTCATTTCCTGATTAATTTGTAAACCTGCCTGTTTAGTTCAGTATCCTGTTCAGTAAACTGGTCCACATCAGTGTGATTTTGTTGTTTATTATACTCGCAGATAGAATAAAGTGGTATTTCCAGAAATGTGACTCGGCTATTTGGGTGATTTTGCATTAATTGTACTATTTTCCTGTAGTATGACAAAATACAGTCTATTGTGTCATCCCCTTGTGGACTTGTAATGGAAATAAATTTATTATTTTTGGTTGTCAGATTGCAAGTTCCTAGCCATACGTATAACCAGATGTTTCCTAATCTTTGTATTCCGTGCTCTATATTTACTTCTAGCCAGTCAAAACGATTTTAAATTTTGTCAGAGCTCTTTGCCCACCAGATGATATCCCTTTCTGACCTACGTTCCGCCTTTTTTTTTATAGCCAAGTTCCCTTACTATCTTTTAGAACAACTGGGGTATGGTCTTTAAGTTGCCTTGTTGTATTCTAGGTTTTCCGAGAAATTTCACTAATCGGTTTACCGACATGAAGCAGGAAGTTTTGTTGTAACCAGGAGTTTACGGGTATTATGCCAGTTTTCTTGATATATATATTTGAAAATGTTAATATTGTTATTCATTATATTGTATGCATATACCATGGATATACGATATAAGGAATAAATAACGGCAGGAGACATAGAGGGTTTTTGCTATGTTATGCTGACCACGTTACCAAAATGGCCACTATGCCGCCATTTTTCAAAAATCGGTACCAAATTTTCGAAGGAAAATAAAGATTTTGTGTATAGTTTAACAGTTTTTCAGGACAATGTTTTGCGTTGGACTGAAATAGTTCTTGGAATCCTGTTTTAACACATAAGTAGTTCAATATCACACAAGTAATAGGTAAAATATTCAATCTTTTCTCTCGTCAAAAATATTCTTGCTTCATTCACTCGTACATGCGCACCCGTTTCTCATAACATTTTACTGATAAGTTTGAAGTTCGCGATATTTCTCATACAGTAGTCACTGGAGTACATAGCACTTTTTAGGGTTAAAAGACATTTTCCAGTCTAGAGACCACCTTTTTAGCCCTGCGAGATCTTTTTGCAGTATTTTGGTATCTGTAGGAGTTTAGGAGTTTCTGTTCACCAAGCAGTCGTCTGCAAATAGTCATATGCTTGTTCCCGGACTGAGATTGTTCCCGGCCAATATCATTAATGGAAAGCAAAAATTGAAATTTTTTAATCCTCGGGTCCAAGGACTGTTCCCTGTTGAGCTAGACCTGCTTCCATCAAGTAGAACTGGTAGTCTAAATGTTTTGTTGGTGTAATACTTGATATCGATATATTGGTTGAAGTCAACATCAGAGAATACAGATTCATATTGTTGGCTCAATACATTTGCTTTTCCTTCTGTGTCAATTATATCTTTTTCCTTTTGTCTAAGCATAGTGATGTTATTTTTTTTTTGGCCATTGATGTGAGACCAGAATTTTTTTGTTCTCTTGTAGATTTTTCTTTACAATTATCTAATTTTGACTTTTCTTCATCATCAGGTGTGAGTATAAGAATAAGAATAAGAATACTTATTATTCCAATCAAGTGCCCTTGATGAGCAGCATGACATAATTATATACACACAAAACAATACATTGTGATTTGTAACATTTTTTTTTTTTTTTTTTTTTTTACATTGAAATGAAATATTAAAAGTTCATATAGATGTTATCATGATAAAGCTACATATATTTTTTCATTTAATATAAATCATGGAAAATTTAATTCCAGGCAGGACCAGAACCATACAATCATTACAATAATCATCGTCATTACGTATATTGATTTACATTTCGTCTAACATCTGGACAAATAATAATATAGTTCCCTAAATATTTCAGGACATACAAATTTTCATTAGTAAATAACCAAACAAATTTTGACTCATTTGAGAGATATGAAAATTTCGGACCGTGAAATACTGTTCATCAACTTGAAAAATATCTCCCTGTCATCTTGTATGCTGGAAAACTAGTAATAAAATGTTGTTTATCTTCAACCAAATTAATGGTACATTTCTTACAAAGCCTTTGATCTCTTTCTATATATAAAGTTTTATACCTGTCCCTTTCTATTTTGAGATCATGGGCACTGATTTATATTATATATTATCTTCCCTGAGACCATCTGACTTATGTTGCTTCTGATGCTATTATTAATAACATAAACGGTACCAATTTTTTGCACCAGATGCGCATTTCGACAATCAATGTCTCTTCAGTGATGCTCGAGGCCAAAATATTTGAAAATCCAAAGCTTATTAAAAATATGAAGAGCTATAAACAAAAAAAGGACCAAAAAGTATAGGCAAAGCCGGGCAAGGAATCAGAGCTTTGCATGAGGGAGATACATTCCTTAATTTTAAAAAGATGTTATGGTAGTCTTCAGTTGTCGTTTAAAACAAAAGTTTTATTAAACTTGGACTGTCTAGGAAGGAACAATCTGGACACAACTTTTATCCTATGTGTAAAAATCCGGAATATCTTTTTCCGACATTAGAAATAAATTAGAAATAAACGTTTCACTGACACCGAATATTCCTTATCCCGAAGCGTTTGACGCCGGCGAAATGAAAACAAAGAAGCACAAAAAACACAAATCTGAGCGACATGAAGGTATGTTACAGCCTTTCACCATGACAAATACAATATTTTATGTTTTGTTTGATACAGTTTGTTTGACAGTCAAGCAGACTGATATTCTGGCTCATTTACCGAGGCCAAATTTTTAAGCTTCAGTAAACGGCTGGTAAAAGTCAGTGTAAACTACATGTACTAACTTAAGTAAACTCGGTCACTATTGTCTCTCTTGGAAGTATGATGATAAGTAAACAAACATGCAAACCAGGGTTTTAGCTAAGATTTTGAGGGCTAGATTACAATTTTATTTCAGTTATTTTCAGGGGACATTATTCTGATCAGAGACATATAATACAAGAGATTCGCAACTCTAGTAGAGTCTATATAACAGTCAATGAAATGACGTGGCCACCGGAAAGCCGATTAATCCGATAGATTTATGGGTAAAAACTCGCTATTGTTGCGAAAAAGGTTCTACGCCTCACGATTTTTCTAATGGATAATGCCGATACCTTTCACAGCTAAAGCATGCAAGTATATTTAAAAGTTACAAAAAACTAATTCTAATAATTTGTTATTGATAAAATGTGTTCTAATGATAAGATTAATCATATACAAACAAAGTTAAAACTCAGCCCATTTTACTTCACCTATTGCCGTAGAAACCATTTGATCTCCCAACTTTTTTCTATCCATCTATAAATGCAGTATTGTCAATTGTTTTTGTTGGTTGGTCTCTCACTTATGTTTTCGTCCTTTTCACTATCAACAAAGAGTTCGTTATCAGTTTATTCAACTAGGAGTATATCTAAGTCGTAACTATTAAGATTGTCATCCCACGAAATAAAATCGGAATTTTCCATATTGCGTGCACATTAATAAAGCTTTGTTTTCGTGAGAAATTAATTGTAATTTTCTTAAATATTAATTCTCAATACACACTTCGAACATGACGAAACCATAAATTTACCGACAATCATTTAAAAAACAACTCAATGCAAGCCTATGATGAAACTGTCAAACAACACTTAGAAATAAAACATTTACCGACAATCCTACAGAAAAAACTCAATGCAAGCCCAATAAATGATGAATATAAAAATAAATAAAATTTTAATAATTTATAAATATCAAGAATAAAAAACAAAGCCTATCATGAGTAACAACTAATTAACAAATAAATTAAGTTTTTTTCCACATTAATTAATTTTACATTTTGTGAATTGTATTTTTGGAAAGAGTGTGGACACCTGTGGTGTAACAACTTCTTGTTTACAAGCTTAAGGTGTCAATTAAAACTCATTATTTATAACATGTTCGTGATTTACCTGGTCATCGAATAATTCAAACCTAATATACATGTCACACTGTGAAATTATGTCTCAGAGACAAGTGTATATTCAATAGAAACCGATTATGTAACTATCAAATAAAATGAACTCTAACACAATTTATCAAGTGTTAATTATTTAATACATTATCAAATTATGTCTCTTTTTCAATAATACAAATCTAAAATCAAAATTACATTAAAATAAATAATTATATATGTACTCAAATTATTTAATTAATTATGATAAATTTAACACTGAAACAGTTTATGTTATGCTTAAACATTCGTCCTTACTTCGAGTACTTTTAATACTTTTATTAATGACTTTATTACCTAAGGAGATCTCGCGAGGTTGAACTAGTGGCCGCGTGTTATTACGGGATTTCGTCGAGTTGCGAATCTCTTGTATTATATGTCTCTGTTCTGATCAACAAAAGTTGGGTTCCTTTTTTTTAACCAGAAATCAAAGCGTAAATGAACTTTTAAAGACTATTTCACTGCATAATCATTATCCCTGTAAAGACGTTTAAATCGATACTTGGAATTCATATTTCTATAATCATGATAATCTTGGAACCAAGGATTCTAATATACATTACATGTATGTTTAATTAGAATCAGTAATTTTGATTGGCTGACAATTATGAGGCACTCCACTATTAAACTTTATTTCCGTATAAAATACAACAGCTATGACTGCACATGCTATCCCTGACAATGTTAAAACAATGCATACAAACACAAACAAAAAGCTTCATATAACTCTTATTTTCGTGGTTGTAGCATAAAACTAATAAGAATTGAATGCTTCTATTTTTAGGATTGTAAAAGTGTTGATCGTCAGTGATCTGGAAGGATTTTTTCTCTATGGGCCCAGGGTCCCCATAAAATAAATTCAATGGGCCATTTTTAGAATTAATGGGCCATGTTGTCAAATGAGTGGGCCATTCGTTTACAATAAATAATTTAAAAATAAAATGTATATTTCAGCAACGAGGCAGTGGTACTTACACTACCTGTATGATTCTAATTGATATCATGGATATTGTTTCTGTGCTTTGTAATTTCAATTTCAATGAATATACAATAATTTCTTCCAAACCGGGCAATATTTACGATAACCTTTATTTACAACTGGTATTGTTGCCTTGTTCATGTTCATGTTTTTCTTTACATTAAATTTGGGTCTTCGTCGATTGCCAAACTTTATTCCAGACGTTCCTTATTAGTAATAGAGGACGTTTCTGGCATTTCCTCTGCACTTCTTGTATTATTATTACATCATTGCGATGACAAGAATAACAGTAGAGAGTAACGTTAATTGATAAGACACAACAACAATTCGCTAAAGGCATGTTTACAAAATGTTCAAACGAGCCAAAGACCAAAACATTGACAAGGACAGTTAAGCGCCTTTTATGGAAACAAATACTACGTTCATAAAAAGGCTTTAGGGTTTTTCATTCGAAATAATAGCAAGCTTACTTAAAAGATTATAATTAGAGAAAATTTTTCGACTGTACTAGCCAAATTTCACAAAGGAGTAGGTCCAGTAAGACCCCTTTTTGGCCCCAAAATATAGCAGTTTTACAAAATTGTTAAAATATAAACTTTTAGCTATTTATTGGAAAGAAGAATACTTCTATTACATAAATATGGGCTGTTTTTGACAATACAATGCACATGTATCGGGTACTAGCATCATTAAGTCATGCTAAATTACTGAAATCTTCACAATTTTAGCATTTGAGCTAATTTTTAGACGGTTTTCGTCTTAAATGGAAGTGGCCGCATTCGTGTTCATTCTTAATATTTAAATGTAAGTTGTATTTGATGATAATACATATCATATATAAAGGTCGAAGATGAACACGAATGCGGCCACTTTCATTTTTGACGAAAACCATCTGAAAGGTGACATATTATGGCATAATTGATAGATATTTAATATTTAAGCCTGAATTTGAGCGTCTTTAGTGACTAAATCGGTCCAAATCTTTCTGATAAACTAATTGAATCTACTAAAGTAGACACTTGAGTGTTTAAAAAGTGTCCAAAATATTTCATCAGATGAACCTGAAATTTGAGGCCAAAATCGGCCCTTACTGGACCTACTCCTTTAAAGTTGTTTATAAAAATTTATATCATGAATGATGATTTATTACATATTATGGGTAATCAGTTATACCGCATGTTGCTATTATTACCATAGAAAACGCCCGAGACGTCCCAATAATCAATAGGTGGTGCTCCTATCATTGGAGGGAAAACTACACAGTTTTGTACACAAACATGGCGACACGATTCACGATCGGAAATCCATTTTACGGTATCTAAAGTTTAAAAACGAAGTGAAAAATATCGTGCGCCATGTGGGCGCTTACATTTGTCACCCTATGCGACATTTATGGTCGAAAAGCGCAATTGGCGCATGGCGCACGTCCTTCCTGATCACTGGATCGTGCGCACATTTTTAGAATGAAGAGCTTCCACACCATAATCGATATTGACTGATGTGGTGCTTAAAAACTGATCGACTTTCCAAGAGATTTGTATTTTCTCTCATGTCGTCCAGTTTCTACCCGTAGAGAATGAGTACTTATTATAAATTTAGATAGCATTGACCGATAATCTTTATTTCTTATTTCTAAATATTTTTCAAACTGGAATGTAGACTTAAATTTAAAGAAAGTGTCTAATTTGCCTTGCTTATCAGGTGTCGAAACAGTAGAATCTTTTATACTTTTCCAGAATTTAAGGAAATCATCTTTTAGTCGTTTTTTTATTAGTACTTTAAATTTGGTTTTACCAAGATTTTTGCAAATTGAAAGGTTAATGTTTGATTTTTTGCTGAATAATTGAACATTAGAGTACCAGGAGTTGTCTTTATAATCCCCATTTTTATATTCATTGTATGCACTTTTTAATAAGTCACTTGGTACACAATAGTACAATAAATACAACATAGAAATCTAAAGACTGAATATGTTTCTAAATATGGTATATATAACATGTATCTGACTTTTATCATTAACAGACACTATAATAATTTTTCTTTCAGAAGAGAGATCTGAAAAGGAACCATTAAGACTGGTATTGAAGGTTGGCGAATCTCTTAGTGCACATAGTCCTCACCATGAAAGTAAGAAACATAAACACAAAAAGAAAAAGAAGAAGAAATCTAAAGATCATCACAGACGTGAAGAGGTAACTTCATAATTATTAGGGCCCCGCCTAGTGGCGGGTCGCCCTATTGTAATCAGTCTGTCCGTAACAAATTGTATCCGCTCTATATCTAGAGAACCGTTATAATTTCATACTTTATACTTGACATGTATATTAACCAACACCAGAGGGTGTGTCATAATGTTTGTACAACTTCCTACATTGTAGGTCAAAGGTCAAGGTCAAAACTTAATAAAGTGCTTCATATCAGCTTATCCATACAAATTTTTTACCACACGTTATTTACAGCAGGGCCCACAGAGATGGCTCCCATCTCAATGATGTCTAGTTGGTACTGTTTGTCCTCAAGTATTTACTTAGTGATCAGTTTGTTAGATTTACTTAGTGATCAGTGTGTTAGATTTACTTAGTGATCAGTGTGTTAGATTAACTTAGTGATCAGTGTGTTAGTATTACTTAGTGATCAGTGTGTTAGTACTGGCATGATATAAATAAGACATGAAGGTATTTTTATATTTAAAAAAGATTCTTAGATGAAAATGTTGTGTACATGTAGTATTATAAATACTGAATAATCTAGAATGCAGAAATGTTGAATTTTGATATTAAAGATATTGAATATATAGTACATTGTAAAATTATTTTATGTTATAGTACATCATCTTAGATATTGAAATATATATATGTACTATTTGTACCCCTGCTCTGAAAGCATGTGTATACTGGTTATGTCCGTCGAGTCCTGTTTTTTTTCCATCTGTCGGATCTGTCTCATGAACATTGTGAAATTTTTGTAACACTTTTCTCAGGCACTTCAATATGCCAAAAAGTCTTGCACTATGTTTAAGTCTCCATTGTAACCAATTACTACTTAAGTCCTGCTGATGTTTGACTATTCTTATTTAGGAGAGACCACCTAAGCATCACTACCATCAGCGCATTGTTGACACAGAGGAAGAGATGGAGGTGTCCCAAGAGGAAGAGGAGCAGCCACCATTATCACAGAAGCCATCAGAAGATGTAGAATCGGAAGATACTGAACACGATGATGCTGATGCTCATGTTCAGACCCCACAAAGACCACAGGAAACCATCACTCCAACAAGACCTAGAGGGGATGCAGAACGTGGAGTGTTAAAAATCTGTTTGAAATATATACAGAATAAAATGCAAGCGTATGTTTTTCAAAGAAATCGTGATCTTTCTTTAAAACTAACAGCACATTTGTCATACAAAATCCAGAAATTATATTAAACTCCTTTCTAGAGATAATTAGAATATTTGTTTTTTTTCTATAGTTTAATGACTGTTCCTTTGCATTTCATTAATACATTTTATTTATACGGTATTTTATTTTCAGGAAGGATGTGAATGGATTTTTTGCCTACCCTGTGAATGATATGATTGCCCCTGGATATTCCATGATTATAGCCCACCCAATGGACTTTAGTACCATGATGGTCAAAATAGACAACAATGAATACGAAAGTGTTCTGGAGTATAGGGTAGGGATTCAAAATATTAACTAGTCAATTATATAATGAACTTGTTAGGGATATGCTAAAGCCAAAGACAAAGACTGAAAAACAACACCACCTGACCATTGCTCAAGATTTTATTTCAGACTAATTTGCAACAAATATTGAGCAAAGCATGAAGTTTACCACCATTTCACCCTGACACTTAATATTAAAAGGAACCCCTGCTCTAGGTTGCTTATCACTGGAGATGTCATGCTGGAGTTCTAAGTTGCACATTTTTTCTTATTTTCATAGATTAATTATAGAAATATTGTATACTTCTCTTACCTGGGATTGACAATTATAAGCTGGAAGGTAATCTTAAAATATTTATACCGGCAGACTGGGAGGCGACTTTTAAGACAACTATATATGAATATATTGTGTGATAACTCTGATTTTAATATTTTTGTTGGAGTATTCACTGTGGAGAAAGATGTTGTGGTTTATGTCTTTACATTAGGGATGTTTAATGTTAATAAGTGACTGAATATGATTTAAATATTTTTGTTTGAGTATTCAGTGTGAAGAAAGATGTTGTGGTCTATGTCTATACATTAGTGATGTTTAATGTTAATAAGTGACTGAATATGATTTTAATATTTTTGTTTGAGTATTCAGTGTGAAGAAAGATGTTGTGGTCTATGTCTATACATTAGTTATGTTTTATGTTAAGCTATGTTGCTTATTAGTAATTATATATATATCAATTAAAGTAATATTTTTTAAATTTAAATAATTAAATAATTTTCTTATTTTATACATATAAAGTAATCACCAGTCACCACATCTGACAATTACATTTGTTTGATATTAACTAAGTACAATAAAAGTTGATTTATTTTGTGAATAAATTTTCTTCTACAACGAAATTATGAAAATCATCACAATCAATGTAATTATGTAATGTTGAATTACCAGAATAATTAAATGGTTTATCAATTTTTACAGAAAGACTTTGTATTGATGTGCAATAATGCTATGACTTACAACAGACCAGAGACTATTTATAACAAGGAGGCCAAACGTTTGTTTCAAATTGGTATGAAAACACTGAGTAAGGTCAGTATACACAATCAAAAAATAGATTGAATAAATCTATACACAGATATTCACAAGAGGGGTATGTCTCTTGATGTCGGATAAGGTAGTTGAAAATCCCTTTACCCTAATAGGTGTTACTAAATATAGTAATTATTAAGTTTTCCTGTCAAGGTCTTTTTCACAGTTTAAAAAAAAATCCAAATAAGAGAAAAGAATGTTTAATGCTTTCTATTTTCAATTCTTAATTCACTTGATTCTTTCAAAATTTTCAAAAGATATTAATGCGTTTGTTGAATAAAATTCACTGTGTAATATTAATTTTATATACAATTTTATCCTTATTCCGAGTTTATAAAGTGAAATTTTGACTAAAATCAGAAGTAAAAAATTAAATTTTATATCAAATCAAAATACAGACATGTAAAACTATATGTTTTCACCTGTTTTATGGTTAATGTAATTTTTTGAATATGCTTTTTTCAAGGGAGATAATTCATTTATATTTTTATGCAAAACAGTGAAATTATAATCTTAAGCCCAATATTTATGGTATTTATCTATACATAGACATTAAATCAAATGAATTTGATCAATTGAAACATGTTGATGTGCTACTACATCCTTATACAACTGATTGATATAGAAACTGAACTGTATAACGTGTATTTCTATAGGAGAAACTTCTTGTTATGAAGAGAACACTTCCATTTATGGCCAGTTTACGTTATGAAGAGTTAGGTATAGACGAACCAGATGATGAGACTAAAGCTGTCATGGAAGCCATTGTAGAGGAAGAAAAGGAACAGAAACAAAGAGCTAAAGATAGAGAAGAGTAAACATTTGACTTTTCTACCCTTTACATAAGTATTACCCATGCAAAACTTAAAAGACAGATTGAAAAAATTGTTCAACTTTGTTTCATAAAGAGAAATTGACCAATATAGATACAAACATCTCATTTTAGGTAGGAATAAATCGAGGGGCGTCCCAACATACAGATCTGGGGTTTATCCCCCCATATTCATATATTGCTGCATAAGGCCATAAATACATACCTATCCTCTGTGTCTCCAGTGGAACATAAGGCCATAAATACATACCGTATCATATATTTCATAGGGAAATCATAACCAATTGATATGTTTTCCCAGCAATCAGAAATACAATCTATGACATCTTCAGATGTAAGACATATGGGATCATACATATAATTAGACAATAAGATCAGTACACAGTTTTTACAGACAATCTTATCAGAAGTTGGAAATTTATGACCTATTGACATAAATTTCTACCAATTGTTATATTTCCTCTGCGAAATTGCACCCCATTGATAGATTTGACATTCCAAAAATATTGCCTATACCAGCGGCACATCTTTATATATATATATAGGAAGAGACGCCCCCTCAGATAAATATTACTTTGTTAAGAAAAAAACACTCTTATTTAAAGAAAAAATTCTCTGAATCTGACATTGTCAAGATCGTTGATTTCTTGATTGATAACATACTTGTTACAGTTGGAGGATGTTTTTGTTTTTTTCAACAAAAAATTAGCATTCCTATGGGAACCTTCTATGCTCCTCTTCTTGCAGACATGTTCCTTCATTGATTTGAGGCAAACTTCTTTCAGTAACTTCTTAGGAAGAATGGAAAGGAGCTAGAATTATCCTTTAATTTCACATTATGCTATAAAGATGATGTCTTCTCACTAAATAATTCAAAGTTTGGTGACTGTGTTGAACACATCTATCCCATCTAACTTGAAATAAAGGATGCCACAGATACAGTTAATTCTGTGTCATATCTTGACTTTCATCTAGCTATACTTAAGACAACAGAGATAATTTCAGCTTCCCAATTGTGAACATTCCATTTCTATTTAGCAACATTCCAGCAGCATCTGTATATCGAGTATATATCTTCAAAATGATTTAATATTTCAGAGCTTGCGTTTCCTATTATGATTTCCTTGATAGGGGATTGCTACTGACAAGGAAGCTATTAAACCAAGGGTTTCAAGTGGTAAACTTGGACTCATATCCCTTCACTAATTTTATGTACATCATCACAAATTGATTTGACTGTTATGGAATATCTGATTCACAGATGATGATGGATATGTTCCAATTGTTGTAATCACAATTCCATCCACTTTTCCTTGAATGTGACTTCACCAAGTGAGACTTACCACCAAATTTGTAATTAGATAAGCAACAGGATGTTGCCACATGTGGAGCAGGATCTGCTTACCCAACCAGAGCACCTGAGATTACCCCAGAATTTTGGTGGGGTTCCTGTTGCTCAGTCTTTAGTTTTCTATGTTGTGTTTTGTAGACTGATGTTTGGTTCTTTTTTGTCCTTTTTTGTTTTTTGCCAATGTGTTGTCAATTTATCTTCTACTTATGAGTTTGAATATCCTTCTGCCTTTCTAATTAAAAAAAATGAAATGAGTTCACCTCTTATTTTATAAAGATGAACTAGTATAAATTAAGCTTACATAATATATAGTGCTACAATTAAACTTAAAAAAGAATAATAAAACAGAAAAAATTAATATCATATTATTCAGATTTTTTATATTGTACTATTTTCTTATGCAGAAATTGAAAACAAACAGGGAAGTTTTAAGAATAATTATTCCGATACAAAAAAAGTATCTTTTTTCCCTATATTTTGTAGAATTGGTAGATTTGAAGCTGTACCAGATAACTTGAGTGTTTCAGAAATATTGGCACAGGCCCAGAACGCTGCAAAAGATGCTGCTGATCTGTTAAAATTTCGACAGTCTAATTCAAGGGTAAGTAAATAGATAACACTAGCTCTTATCACCCAATGAAGAGCAAGCCCAATGCACTACTATAGATACTGCTGATCTGTTAGGATTCCAACGGTCTAATTTAAGTGTTAGTTGATAGATAGCATCAGCTTCTATCACTTCTCCTCACTAAAGAGGAAGCAACGTATTACTATAGATGCTTCTTATATGAATAAATAATGAATTTAGGGTACTGTGGATTCATTAATATTCGTTGGATACCAATTTTCGTGGATTTCGTTGGTACATGGAAACCACGAATTTAAATATTCAACGAATTACAAATTTTCTAAAGGAATGTATGCAGACTTTGCCAAAACTACGAAATTAAATATCCATGAATATGCAAGTTTTCCTCAAACCACGAAAATTGGTATCTACGAAAATAAATGAATCCACAGTTTAAGCCAATGAGACAAAATATCCCTGGAAATGATGGGAGATCTGACATCTTTTAAATAGATAAAAAATGACAATAAAGGGAAGAAAAGAACCACTGACAAGATTCCTGACTTTGGACAGGCATATAAACATTTTACAGAACCAAACAAGAAGACTGCAGTAATTTTTGGATAGTAGCATTTGTTGCAGCAGTTTGACTTGTAACATGACACAGAGTGTTTTCACATATCAGGAGCATTTCCTGAAGCAGAATAGTTCATAGTATTTGGAAGATTGATCACTGATAAAACTACAGTTATCTCTCCTCTCATTGTTTCGACCTCGGGTGACTTGAAATTTCAGATGAGTCGAAGTTTTCTCATGGTCCTGAACTTTGTTCTATATAAATATATGTGTTTCGACTCCTGATGAGTTGAAATTGGATGAGTCGAAATTTTGGTTGACAAAAGCATTCAAAATTCATTATTTATCTCAAACTAATACATATATGTCAAAACATGTCCTCAGGGATTTAAATGGATTGAAGAGTTCACCTGACAATACATGTGTAATTAAATTTCCAGTCACTGACCACTGTATCAATTTATGACATTCTTTTTCCACTAGTGTTTACCTAAGATTATCTTTGATCACCATGATAAATAATTAGTGATACATTGTTATAGTTTATGAAAAATTATATAAAATGTTTTAAAAATAATTAACCGTTATCATACACTAATGAGCTTGGTTGTGTATAAAGTAGGGATTAAGACTTCCGTTGGTGATCAACTCAAAACTACTCAACAGGCATCTTCAATCTTTTTGTATTTCTCTTGCAGAAAAAGATTGAAATGAAAAGAAATCTAAATTTTCTAAAATTTCTTGTATATGAGAATGAACAATTTTGTCAACTTTAATAACGCTAAGATTGAATGGAAATTACTCTCTGAGCTAAAAATCACAGTAAAAAATTGTAACTGTACAGAGAAATAAATTAGAGACGAAAATCGTAAAATGTTATTATAATACATGTAATAAAAGACCATAACATACACATACATCGCTCTGAGACCAGAATATCGATCCCCTACCCATATTCATCAGAATTTATTTTAGCCTTACCAAGCTAAGCAAGAGTTGTGTCCCTTGGTCTGTCAAACTTCCGGTTTTCGTTTGAGTCGAACTACGGGTATCTCGAAATATTTCTCTGGTCCAGCTGACTTCGAGATAACGAGAGTCGACTCACTGTACTTTATTTTTTTATAAAAAGCACAATACTATGACCTATTTTGCTTCAGGAAAATCTCCTGGTGAGTGAAACCTCTAACAAACTTATTAAAGCCTTATTATTAATACAGCACCTCTTTGTCTCAACTCTGTGTCATGTTACAAGTCAAACTTCTGTAACATATGCTGCTATCGGAAAATTAATGCAGTCTTCTCATATAAGTGTCAATTATGATACCAGCTCTCATCTCCTGTCTAACATAGGGTCTCTTAGATTTGAAAATTTCAATCCAATTTTTAGGAATCCTGTTGCTAATTTGAGACTGATGTATCTTTGTAATGAGACCATGGTGATACTTTTAAGTAAATTTGGTTCATGATGGGGTTCTTTCTACAGCAAGATATTATGGACATGTTTTATTGAGACCACACTTTTAAGTAAATCTGCTACACAAGTTTATGATGGGGGTTCTTTCTGCAGCAATGGATTATTGACAGTGTATAATGAGAGCACAATTAGTTTCTATGTAAAGAGACCACACTTTACAATAAATCTCTTACACAAGTTTATGATGGGGGTTCTTTCTACAGAAAAAGATTGTGTACCGTGTATAATGAGACCACGCTTTTGAAGTAATTCTTTTGCCAATTCATGATGGAGTTCTTTCTAAAGCAAGGGATTTTGGACAATGAATCCTTGTTATTATACCATGGTTTATATAATTTTCAAACTACAAAATCAACAAGCTTTGACAAATTCAATTTGTAGCTAAGATGTCAGAATTGTGCATTCTAATGATAAAAATCATAATTTTGACTAATTTTTATTTGAACTTTGATAGTTTTTGCCTCTGACAAAATTTGCCACATATATGGACCTGTTGGACCAACATAATTTTTTGTAAGGATGTGTATCTAATTCATATACTTATTTTTATAACAGATTTATTTTGGTTGAAGAGCATGGCTTATGTTTTACAGAAGGAAATAGATCTTTAGTATTCATTTAAAAAGAAATTGTGACTATCTTAAAAAAGCAGTAAACAGAAAAATGTCACATTTATCTTAATTTGCATATTTCAGATTGTAAATTTAACATTTAGATGTAAAATAAAATTGACAAACTTTTAGGGCCTAATATATGCCTTCCTAGCCCTATTCCTTTAAATATGAAAGTTTGGCATACAATCTTGTACCAGTAATTTTTATCTGACATATTCTACAATTTTAGTTGGGATTTCTTCGTAAGAGAGATGATGGCAGTACGTCTATGGTATTACTGAACCCTGACAATGATGGAATTGGTAAATACTTATATAGGCATTATATTGTGTAATATTAGATTGTACTCAATGATTTAAAGGACTTACAAAAAATATCATATTTATCAAAATTGAAAAAAAAGACAGAATGTGAAATACAGATTCATGTGAGATTTCCGTTAATTGATTAATATGATTTATTCTTGATACTCATAAAACTGCAAAAATAATTCTTTGAAAATGAAAAACAACATTTTTTATAGAAGAATACATATGTGACATGATTGTTAAATTCCAGGAAAACAAATTACCATAAACATACTTAAAGTACGCACAATACTCTATAGCATTGGTTTAGTGGGATGAAAAACTATATTTATATTTTTATACGCCCGTTGACGGGACGTGTTATGGTATACCGTTATCCGTCTGTCCGTCCGTCCGTCTGTCGGACATTAACTGAAAAACGCTTTAACCAATTTGCATAAAACTTTGGTGAATTGTTTATATCTATTGACGTGAGCTCCTTTTTGTTTTTTTATAAATTTTAGATTTTACGTTTCCGAGTTATGGGGTTTTATTCATTAAAAAAAGGTGGATTTTCCAGTTTTCGGACAATAACTCAAGATTGCTTTCACCAACTTGCAAGAAAATGTGGTGAATTGTTTATATCTATTGACATGAGCTCCCTTTTTGATTTTTATATATTTTAGATTTTACGTTTCCGAGTTACAGGGTTTTATTCATAAAAAAAGGGGGATTTTCCAGTTTTCGGACGAAAACTCAAAAATGCTTTCAGCAGTTCTTATGAAACTTTGGTGAATTGTTTATATCTATTGATGTAAGTTCCGTTTAGAATTTTATAAATTTTACATTACATTACAATTAATATAAATTCAATTCATATAACCAATTTCAAGTTCTTTGACTACATTTATTCAGAAACCTATATAATATGTCAAATATTTAATACAATCCAAATTCAGACCTGTATCAAGCTTGAATATTATGTCCATTTTTGCCCCAACTGTTCAGGGTTGGACCTCTGCGGGCGTATCCAGCTGCGCTCAGCGAAGCAGTTTATTATGTAATGTTTGGTGTGTGAAATATTTTCTAGTGAGTAAGAATGAACGTGTGATTAGCATTGGTTCATTGATTGGGAAGTTAGGAACTGGTGGAGGATCCTTAGCAGGTTACAAAGAAGACAAGAGGAACAGAGTCACTACAGGTAGGTACTTCATTGTGTTTATATATAGTGTTAAATAAATTAAGGTACAAAGAAGACAAGAAGAACAGAGTCACTACAGGTAGGTACTTCGTTGTGTATATATAGTGTTAAATAAATTAGGGTACAAAGAAGTCAAGAGAAACAGAGTCACTACAGGTATGTACTTCATTGTGTTTACATATGCAGTTAAAAAAAAAAAAATTTTAGTAAACAAATTCTCCACTTATTTTTACTAGTTTTATTCAAAGTAAATATTAATTTCCAAGGATTGAACATTTACATCTACAGATAAAAAATGCCTTTCAACCCTTGCAATCCTATTAAAGATCACTTTTAGAGGTTACATTGTTATTGGATATTCATGCTTGTTATATTCATTATATTGGATATTTTTTCTCTTTTATTAGGATATTGGATATTAGTTTCTTAGGATATATAGGACATCAGGAATAATTTCAGGGATATTGAATATTGTAAAACTGTATTCAGAGTTTTTAGGGGTATTAAGGAATCACCCTGTCAGTCTGTCTGTCATTCTATTTTGATTGATTGATTCTTTGATGGCTGGTAAATGTCCAGCTGCAATATTAACATGATACTACTAGTTCAACATGTTTAGTTTGATTTTTAATTTGCTATTTTACATGGTAACAGTCTGCAGGAAATCATGTGAACTGACACATTACACTGACTCCAAGCTCTTACTCCTTGCTATTTTACATGAAAAAAGTCTGCAGGAAATCATGTGAACTGACACATTACACTGACTCCAAGCTCTTACTCCTTGCTATTTTACATGGTAACAGTCTGCAGGAAATCATGTGAACTGACACATTACACTGACTCCAAGCTCTTACTCCTCCTTGTAAATGTCACTTGCTTGGCAGAGAAGCAGCACATACAAATTGTAGTATTGGACTTGAGTGTAAGTTTTTAAGGAATGATGTTCTCTGTACAGTCATATGTATTAATTGATTGATTGTTGCAGGGATGGGCACGATTACTGACAAATGTAATCGATAAATAATCGATTACTTGAAGGATTTTTGTGAAATCGATTAATAATCGATTACTCTGAATCTTGTATGTAATCGATTGCAATCAATTACTTTAGCTAAAGTAATTACATTACTTTTCGATTACTGTCAATTACATGCTACAAACTTACAAATTAAATAAAGTAAGTTAAACACAAAGTCAATTATGTTGTTTAATGTATGTATAGTGGAAATTTTGAACTTTACAAAAATAGCATTTAAAGCATTGTTTCCAAATTTTATGTTGACAGTTGTTTTCTAGATGGAAGCTCTTACTGTCTAAGGATCCGAAATATTCAAAAATTCTAGAAATTTTGGTTTTCAATATGAATGATTGGTGATAAAGTTCTTGCAATGGCATCACATTGCATCAATCACTTCTTTATATTTTAGGTTATTATCTCCATATTTTTGCAAATTTTTGCTGTCATACTGACTAAAGTTAAGTTTTTTGTTTTTACTCATTATTAACAGCTATATTTGAATATAGTTCATTACAATGTTGAAAGTTTACTCTGAAAAAAAAACTATAAAAAAGTAGAATAATTAATTAGTTCAGCTAATTTTAGAGATGAAAATTTATGATTTGTAATTACATGCATGAATTAATCCTTTTGTTTTGACAACATCCCTAATTACAGGCTATAATACTGCCAATGGAGTACAATTATAACCTGGGGCAATATCATGTAAATCTCCTCTTAATTATACATAATTGAAATCAAAACAAAGTCTTCATCTTATTGATTAGAAGTCTTTGTTCATCTGATTAGTAAAGACAAGAAGTTTGTTGAGAATTTTGTATTCTCATTTCAAAATTATAAACAATTTATATTTTTTGTGCAAAAATTGGAAACATGTATCTCTGTTTCTGAACAAGAATTTTAATGCATAGCCATTGGTTCATTGTCAAAAGGATTTCGTGTACTTTGTAATTTTTATGTCATAACATTATAATGAATCAAATGTTTATCTATTCTAAGCTAAAATTCCAACTACTATTGAAAATTATGTTTTAAGGAATTTTAATACAAATAAGCTTACTACTGCAATATAGTACAGATTTTAACTTAAGACTTATTTCTTATTTAAATCTATTTTCTTATTTTTATATAAAAGGTCTTAAATTATTGACAGCAAGAAAAGTCATTTGTTTCAAAAGCTAGATATACAGTATAATTTGATAGATCTGGTTGAAGCAGCTGGAGCCAATAGATAGAAACAAGGCATTTGATAAACTCTTAAGTCATATCAATACATTTTATTTATATCTGTACTATAAAGTGATGAATACATACATACTTTCATATAAAATAGATTATATTTCATCAAGCTATTTTACCAAAGTAATCGAAATGTAATCGAAAAGTAATCGATGATTACATCATAATTTTTGCTGTAATCGATTAAATTACCATTACATGTAATCGAAAATATCTTCGATTACAGATTACTGTCGATTACTGGAAAAGATGTAATCAATTACAATCGATTACGATTACAGATTACGATTACTCCATCCCTGGATTGTTGCTTGTTTAACATTAAATCTCGGACATTTATAGAAATAATTGCTGCATCAGTTTCACAAATGAGTCTCTTAATGCACTTATATCAAAACGACCAGTCTCTTAATGCACTAATATCAAAACGTTAAACCCTATATTACCAAAGGCTTTTATTTTTACAGGACAGTATTTGAATTATGGACCGTTTGGTACATATGCTCCTCAGTACGACTCAACATTTGCTAACATGACAAAGGAAGAAACAGACATACTACTATCAACATATGGCGATGAGACAGGAGTAGGGTATGCCAAAAGGTAACATTTTATATTTTATTTAAAAAAATCTTTTTTATTACATAAAAGATCCAAATACTGTGGATTCATTTATTTTTTGTGGAAACCAATTTTTGTGGATTGATGAAAAATTATATTTTCATGGATATTTGATTTAGTGAAGTCTGCATACCCGCCTTTAGAAAATATGTAATTAATTGATCGTTTCAATTTGTGCTTATTCTTTACCCACAAAACCTGTAAAATTGGTATCCTATGAATAACAATGAATCCACAATAGACTGAATATTTGCTTTTAATTGAAAAACTAGGAAATAACAAAGTGTACTATTTATAACTCCACAGTAAAATCCAATATAATTCCACAGTAAACTCCAATATCACTCCACAGTAAACTCCAATATCACTCCACAGTAAAATCCAATATAACTCCACAGTAAACTCCAATATCACTCCACAGTAAACTCCTCCACAGTAAACTCCAATATCACTCCACAGTAAACTCCAATATCACTCCACAGTAAACTCCAATATAACTCAACAGTAAACTCCAATATCTCTCCACAGTAAACTCCAATATCACTCCACAGTAAACTCCAATATATCTCAACAGTAAACTCCAATATCTCTCCACAGTAAACTCCAATATCACTCCACAGTAAACTCCAATATCACTCCACAGTAAACTCCAATATAACTCAACAGTAAACTCCAATATCTCTCCACAGTAAACTCCAATATCACTCAACAGTAAATTCTAATATCACTCCACAGTAAACTCCAATATATCTCAATAGTAAACTCCAATATCTCTCCACAGTAAACTCCAATATCACTCCACAGTAAATTCTAATATCACTCCACAGTAAACTCCAATATATCTCAATAGTAAACTCCAATATCTCTCCACAGTAAACTCCAATATCACTCCACAGTAAACTCCAATATAACTCCACTTTAAACTCCAATATAACTCCACAGTAAACTCCAATATCACATGCAAAACCTTTAAAAAACAAAACATATCCACTGATTGGTCAAATGTATAATAACTTTCATAATTCTGGCTATTTGTCTTTATTTTATGGTTCCATAACCTTATTTCACCACTATCAGTTTCAATTGCTGTAACGTGAGGGTACCCAAATTGCACCTATTTCGACAGTTTTTTCACCTTCATTTATTTAAGAAATAAGACCAAAATTCTGTGTTTTGCTTTGTGAATGTATGCTTATTTTCTATATAGAATCACAAATTAAGTTTGAATCCATTTTTAATCATAGAAAAATGGGGTGAACCAACCTCAAATAGACCTAACAATTCATTTAGTGCTGTCGATATAGAAAAAACAATTATTTATACCTTAATAACTTCAAAGCACCTTACTCCCTGTGATAGTAAGGTTTTACTTTGGCAGTGCCATCTTTGAACAGTGAATGTTTTCTGCTGTGATAACATTTAACTTCAGGAAAACTTTGATCTCTATCTCATGTTGGAGAAATATATCAATTAGTGCAAGAGGTCTAATGAATATAAAAATAAGGAGATGTGGTATGATTGCCAATGAGACAACTATCCACCAAAGCTCTAATGAAGTGGATGTAAGCAATTATAGGCAACTGTACGGCCTTCAACAATGAGAAAAACCCATACAGTATAGTCTGCTATAAAAGGCCCCGACATGAAAAATATGAAACAATTCAATTGAAAAACTAACAAGTACATTTATGTAAGAGAAATACTAAATACCACTTTATATGGATGTTTGGTGTCTGACAGTCTCCTTCTCTGTCCGTGATACAATTATTTCATGCTTCATTGACTCTCTGATGAGTATATCTATTTTTTCCCCCAGTGTAATGAGTTTCGTTGAGAGTGGTGGTGACTATGCGATAGCTATGGTGGATAATTTATTGGATATCCTGACAAAAGGAGAACATGCTAAAACTAAGATATTACAACAGGTTTGTAGTTTATACACATCATTTATTGGATATCCTGACGAAAGGAGAACATGCTAAGACCAAGATATTACAACAGGTTTGTTGTTTATACATATAATTTATTGGATATCCTGACAAAAGGAGAACATGCTAAAACCAAGATATTACAACAGGTTTGTTGTTTATACACATAATTTATTGGATATCCTGACAAAAGGAGAACATGCTAAAACCAAGATATTACAACAGGTTTGTTGTTTATACACATAATTTATTGGATATCCTGACAAAAGGAAAACATGCTAAAACCAAGATATTACAACAGGTTTGTTGTTTATAAAATAATTTATTGGATATCCTGACAAAAGGAAAACATGCTAAAACCAAGATATTACAACAGGTTTGTTGTTTATACACATAATTTATTGGATATCCTGACAAAAGGAAAATGTGCTAAAACCAAGATATTACAACAGGTTTGTTGTTTATACACATAATTTATTGGATATCCTGACAAAAGGAAAGCATGCTAAAACCAAGATATTACAACAGGTTTGTTGTTTATACACATAATTTATTGGATATCCTGACAAAAGGAGAACATGCTAAAACCAAGATATTACAACAGGTTTGTTGTTTATACACATAATTTATTGGATATCCTGACAAAAGGAAAACATGCTAAAACCAAGATATTACAACAGGTTTGTTGTTTATACACATAATTTATTGGATATCCTGACAAAATGAAAACATGCTAAAACCAAGATATTACAACAGGTTTGTTGTTTATACACATAATTTATTGGATATCCTGACAAAAGGAAAACATGCTAAAACCAAGATATTACAACAGGTTTGTAGTTTATACACATTATAATTTATTATAATGCAGTATTTGAATAGCATCCCATTTTAAGAAAAATTTGTCCATACAATGAAAAATGTTTTTTGAAAAGGTCCACAATTGGTTGATTGTTGCTTGCTTACCGTTCAAAGTACAATGACATAAAAATCACTGGCTGTATGATATATAGGAAATTATACCAGTCCATAATAAACAGTACACAATCAAGATGAAATAAGGAGATGTGGTATGATTGCCAATGAGACAACTATCCACCAAAGTCTGAATTATGTGGATGTAAACAACTATAGGGACTTCTAAAAACATAGAAAATCCACAACACAGCAGAATGTGCCATTAATACTTTTTAAATGTATGAATTGTAGTCAGAATTAGTCTTGACCAAAAACATATTTGTGAAAACTAGGTAAAAAAGGCCAATTTGAAGAGACTTTTAATATTTGAGCAACCAAATAATGTCCAAATTAAGTGAATTTTAACTTAATTAGTTTTTGCTAGACTGTGACATAGAGCTAACAGTGTAGACTGTTTCAGTAATAGAAAAGCTGGTATATGTACAAAACTAGTGCTTTATCAATCAATATAAAGATATTCCAGTAAAAAATCTGAATTTTCAATTTCTGTATTATTTGCTAAACAAAGCAGATGTAAGAGAATTATTTGATTTAAAAAAAGTTTCAGGCCAAGGTGCTTTTGTTGAATTTTTGTCCATTGTATTGACTTCCTTATAAGGACTTGAAGAGATGATACTTTTTGTCCATTATATTGACTTCCTTATAAGGACTTGAAGAGATGATATTTTTTTACCTCATTTGTTGTTCACATTATTACCAGGTTGAATATAAAAATAAGAAGATGTGGTAAGATTACTAATGAGACAACTATCCATCCATCTCAAAGACATAGAGAAGTTCATATTATAAGAATTATATTGGTAAAATGTCTCTGTAAGCTATGATCCTATAGACTATTTCTCTGTGAACTGTAATGAAATGCTACTTTTTTTTTTACAGAAAATGAAAGATGGAGGTGGTTCTACTGATGAAAAATCAGCTAATATAGACTTTGATTCTCTCAGAGGTCTTAGTGATCTCGGTGTAGATATGTCATTTCTGGATAGTATGGGTATGTATATCCCCCTGATCTGAGTGTAGATATGTCATTTCTGGATAGTATGGGTATGTATATCCCCCTGATCTGGGTGTAGATATGTCATTTCTGGATAGTATGGGTATGTATATCCCCCTGATCTGGGTGTAGATATGTCATTTCTGGATAGTATGGGTATGTATATCCCCCTGATCTGAGTGTAGATATGTCATTTCTGGATAGTATGGGTATGTATATCCCCCTGATCTGGGTGTATATATGTCATTTCTGGATAGTATGGTTATTTATCGCCCCCTGGGTAAACTAGTAATGTTATGATTGGTTTAATGATGTCACATGGTGACCCCTATGGATTGGTATGGGTCAGTAGATTTCATATGGGGTTCATCACGTCACATCTACTATTAATTGTGATGTCATCTATTGATGTTATTGTATTTCATTGTTTATTTTTACACAAAACTTGGCAGGAAAAATCCTGTATTTAACCATGACAAGTCATTTTATCAACAAAAAAAAAGCATGAAATGCCCTGTATTAAACCATGACCGATCATTTAACAAAAATAAATCTATGTGATACTGAATTATGGTTAAAACTTTATGTACTAATTTCAAATTACAGAAAAATCAATGAAGAAAGAGAAAGATCCAGTGCAGGAAAAGCTTGATCAGACAGCTACTTTATTAAATGACCTTCAACAAACTCAGAATGAACGACTAAGTCAGAACTTACCACCACACATTACTCAAGTACCTGGTCCTTCAGAAAAAGAAATACAGTTAGGTAAGTGGACTTAAGTCAAAAGTTACCAGCACTCATTACTAAAGTTCCTGGTCCTTCAGAAAATGAAATACAACTAGGTAAGTCAACCATACAGAACACACCACCATACTTTAATCAAGTACTGGTCCATCAGATAATGAAATACAACTAGGTAAGTCAACCATACAGAACACATCACCATACTTTAATCAAGTAATGGTTTTTCAGAAAAAGAAATACAACCATGTACTGTAAATTCAGAGATTGTTGCAATGTTTTTATTAATGCGAATAATGCGACTAGGTGAGTATCGTAATAATAAGATCTCGCATTTTGATAACTAAAACATAGATCTGTATGTAGATCTTTCTGAAATCACAATAATTAAAATTGCATTCTTGTCCATTTTTGTAAAATTGCAATAATAAATGCACGCAATTATTTCTGAATTTACAGTATTTTGACTTAGTCAAAAGTTACCTCCACACATTACTTAAGTACTAGGTCCCTCAGGAAAAGTGATACAAACATATAAAAAAAGTTATGTGAATATGATTGCCAATGAAACAACTATCCACCAGAGACAAAATGATATAGATGTAATCAACTATAGGTCGCTGTACATCCTTCAACAATGAGCAAAACCCATATCTTAAAGTCAAAATTTACCACCAAATAAGATAAAAAGGAATAATAGAGTTTTTTTTTTGTATTTTTACTGTGGATTCAGTTATTTTTGTGGGTACCAATTTTCCTGGATTCAAGAAAAAATCATATTTTCATTGATACTTGATTTCTTGGTTTTGCCAAAGTTTGTGTACAATTCTATGAAAATCGATACTTTTAAAACCTTTAAATTTGGTTCGTCTCTTCCTACTCAATCTAATGAAATTGTTACCCAGTAAATAATAATGCATCCACAGTAATGAAAACACACTGTGTCACAAGTTAGGTACTTCTTACATACTGTTCACAAACTATCTAAACTGTAATTTAACTGTTAGTTGTCTAAAAAATTTCTGACTAACAAAAATGTATTTATAAGCAATCCAAAAACATTTCTTAAATATTTGCTACACCTTATTATGTATATTTAAGGGAGGAAGTTGCAAGAATCTTTATGCCCAAATAAGGTCACATGCTGAAAAGGGGGAAAACAACATTAGTTATTTGATGAAACATTTATTATCTTTGACCCATAAGTGTGACTTGACTTTATCTGCAGTTCACATCTAATAGGTCTTAGCTTGTAATATTGAAATCATGTTAACACAATGTAAAGTTTCCCTGTTTGTTCATTAGAGCTGTAGGTAGAAATGAGAATAGTAGTCCTACAGCGGCACTTTTAGTAGTTTCAATTGAAACAAATACTGTATCATATTTTTCTAGAAAAAAAAGAGTACCAGCTAACATATAACTATTGTATATTTTATAGCACAAAAGGTCACAAAAGAACTGAAAGAATTGGCACGAGAGGTAAGTTATTGTGTTCTTTAAGGTCAAATGATTTGGCTCAATTTTTTAAGGGGTTCTCAGAAAGGCTTTTCTATATATCAGAGCTCTGTAGAAAGTATTTATAACAATTTTGGTGTCTCCAATACTATATATATGAAATTTTTCAGCAGTATTATAGGATATGTTTTCCAAAGATATGAAGGGTTGAGGGGCCAAAATTAAAATTTTTAATGGACTTTAAATTATCATCCATTTAAAATCGGATTTTTTTTCATAAGGACTTTCTTGATGATATCAATATCTAAAAGATTATACATGACTCTTCATACAGGAACTTCTTAGGAAGAAAAAAAAAAGAAGTTAGCAGTATCCTTTTTAACTTCACTTTCCCCTATATAGATGATGTTCTTTCACTAAATAATTCAGTCTGCCTCTTATTTCGACATCTAGAAATTGACAATGAAAACAAATTTTATGACAATAGAGATGATTTCAGCTTCCCAATTGTGAACTTTCCATTTATATGTAGAAACATTCCAGCAGCGCCTGCATACAGAGTATATATTTCCCAGTTGATACGATATTCGAGGGCTTGTGTTTCCTATCATGGTTTCCTTGATAGAGGGTTGCTGCTCACAAAGAAGCTATTAAACCAAGACTTCCAAGTGGTGAAGTTGAAATCATCCCTTCATAAATTTTATGGACGTCATCATGAGTTGGTTGACCGTTATGGAATATCTGTTTCACAGATGACGACGGATATGTTCCAATTGTCGTAACTACAATCTCGTCCCCTTCCCCTGAATGTGACCTACCAAATTAGACATATCACCAAGTTTGTACTTATACTACGGGTGCCACATGTGGAGCAGGATCTGCTTACCCTTCCGGAGCACCTGAGATCACCCCCAGTTTTTGGTGGGGTTCGCGTTGCTCAGTCTTTGGGTTTCTATGTTGTTTTGTGTACTGTTCTTTGTCTGTTTGCTTTTGTGGAGCCTGCGACTTTTGTCGCAAAAGCGAGACATAGCGATCCTACATTCCGCCGTTGTCGGCGTCGTCCACAAATATTCACTCTGTGGTTAAAGTTTTTGAAATTTTAATAACTTTCTTAAACTATCCTGGATTTGTACCAAACTTGGACAGAAGCTTGTTTATGATTAAAAGCTAGTATCTAGAAGGAAATTTTGTGAAAATATATTTCCTGTTTTTCCGTATATTACTTATAAATGGACTTAGTTTTTCTTCCTGTTAACAAACTTGGACAGAAGCTTCTTACAATCAAAAGATAGTATCTATAAGAAAATTTTTAATAATTTTTTCCCCATTTTTGTTGAGCCTGTGACTAGCAGCAGAAGTAGGCGAGACACTGGGTTCCGAAGAACCCTTACCAATTTTTTCTTTTTTAGCCATGGCGTTGTCAGTTTATTTTTTACTTATTGAGTTTTAATGTCCCTTTGGTATCCTTCACCTTTTACCGTTTCTAAGCTGTAAGACTTCTTCAATGTTCTTGTGTAGACATGTTATGTTGTGTCGTGTTGAATCTAGTGTAGCCCTGTATTCATATTTTCATATATTTAAATCTGCATTTGATTTAAGATTATAAACCTGATTGTTAAAAAAAAACCGACGGTCTTGGCCATTTGAGTCTTTGAACAAACATAAGAACACAAAGGAAACACAAAGTCCAACTGTATGTTAAAATGTTTTGGGATTGTACTATGCGGTTATTGGTACCTATATCTTGAAAGATTATTTTATATGAGGGAGCAGTGTCCAATAGATATATTATCAAGTTTACTTATTTCTGTAAAATCAACTAGCAATTTTTGTTTAATCATTGAATTATCACATTTGCACTCTCATATATAAAGATTTCATATGTGTTCTGTTTTACAGGCACAACCAGCTAATATTTCAAGTGTTCAAGGACTACGTAATGCAATGGGTGTAGGTTATGACCCTTCTGAATCACAGCAAATATTCACATCTAGTCCATCACAGCCATCAAATCAAATAAATCAACCAACCCAGCAATCATCAGAAATAAAGACCAGTCAACCATCTGTTTCATTACAAGCCTCCACCAATCAGACGATAGAATTACTCCAGTCCAGCAACTATTCAACGAACATACCAAACATAGTTTCACAACATGTTACTACACCAACTTATCAACAAACTAATCCATTGCCAGTTCTCCAACAACAACAACCATCAGTTACAATTGTCCAACAACCACCATCAGTGTTGCAACAACAGCCATCGTCACTTGGCCATCAACAACAGCCATCGTCACTTGGCCATCAACAACAACAGTCACAAGTACTACAGTCATCAGCAGTATCATACCAGACTGCAACAGCTTCATCATCAGTCCCTTTCCAGCAAGCAACTGGTACCACATATAATCAGCCTATTACTGTGGGAGAAGTACCAGTTGTTGGACAGGAAGTTCAAAATGCTCCTGAAGGTTTAACAACTATAAATGATGATGACTCTGATATTGAAATGGACATAAGTGAATTCTTACAGTTTCCAAGTAATTAAAACATATGAAAGATTGTGTTAAGTGTAATAAGTGTATGTCATTATATTAAATAATGTTTAATTTTATTTAGTTAAAAGCCTGAGTATGAACAAGGACAGGTACATATGATTCTTTCTTAGTTTACTGTTTGTTATATATGGTACCTTTCTGTGAATGACAGTGTGTGTTAATTATAAAACACCAAGTTTAGGGTGTTCTATTATTTGAACAACAAACCATTTACTCTAAAGACAGAATGCTGGACAAACTGACAAGGATATATCCATATGCCCTCTGCTTTTTAGCACAACTGGTCATGATGAGCTATTACCATCCGTTGTCTGTCAACAGAAATCTGTCAGATTGTTTTCAAAGATCTTTTCCTCTGAAACAACTGAACCAATTCAAACCAACTTGACATGATTGATCCTCGGGGTGTCAAGATTATAGTTTGTGAATTAAATTAAAGTCTATCAATCAACACGGTTGTCACAGCTAAAAATTAAAGCTAGCATTTGTTTAATAATTTGAAAATCATAATAGATAGAGAAAATCTGATGGTTCTGAATTTCAAGATCTACCAATTTCCCATTTGTTCCAATTGCATCAGACCTTATAGGAGTTATTGCCCTTTTAAATGTTAAACTTCAACCAATTTACATATTTCTGCCTTTTAACTTGAAAACATAACAGACAGATTTTTTATAAATTAAAGAATAGTACTATTTCAACATTTTCAGGGACCAAAAATGGCTTTGTATAAATACCCTGCCACGTCTGGTCTATGTTTTTGTTACTTGTTTTTCTGCTTTGTATCGATCTGACGAGTATAGCCCTTTTCAACGAATTTTTATGGTTTGTTCATGTTTTGTGCTGTTACGCCACTGTCCAAGGTTAGGGGAGGGTTGGGCGCCCGCAAACATTTTTACCCTGCCACATTCTGTATGTGTCTGTCCCAAGTCAGGAGCCTGTAATTCAGTGGCTGTCATTTGTTGCTGTATATCATATTTGTTTTTTGTTCATTGTTTTGTACATAAATCAGTCCATAAGATTTCTCATTTGTCATTTCGGAGCCTTTCATAGGAAACTATGCTGTATGAGTTTTGCTCATTGTTGAAGGTCCTACGTTGACCTATAGATGTTAACTTTATGTTTAATCTGGTCAGATTCCATAAAAAAGGTGCAGAACCCTTCAATTTAAGGTGAAAGGTTGTTAGATGAGAATACACATTAATTTGATCATAAATTAAGAAGTATATCTATACAAATGACTCCATTTATTCCTTAGGAAGTTTGTACTGGAATTTTGTTGTCCTGCCATTGTTTTCGTCTCTCCTGCCACAAAAGTTGCAGAATGCGAGATAAATGGATTAAAATCTGGCAGGGGCTAAACAAAACTGTTTGTATAAAGCTTTACATGTCAGAGGGTAGATGACCTGAATGCCTCATACTTTTTATATTGATGCATATGTTCCCAAGTTTCTGTCTGTCATATGTCTGTTGTCCTCTACCTCATTTCATGGATCAGTGTCTGACACTGAGTGATCAAGGTTAAAAATATGTGGTTAGGTCTGTTTCATCTGACCTTGATCTTATTTTCAAGGTTCATTGGTCGATGTTAAGTTTTTGTGTTTTTGTCAATTTTTCTAATACTTGAAGAAAAAGGTCAATTATACTAGGTGTGTGGAATGATTGCAAGCTGTACAAGTCTGTATGGCAGGGTTCATCTGACCTTGACCTCATTTTCATGGTTCATTGATCAATGTTAAGTTTCAGTAGTCAGGTCCTCTTCTAAGATACTGTAAGTAAACGTTCAGCTGTATTTGATGCATGGAAGATTATAAGGTAATGTCTGTCTGGCAGGGTTCATCTGACCTTGACCTCATTTTCATGGTTTTATTGTCGAGCCTGCAACTTTTGTCGTAAAAAGCTCGACATAGGGATAGTGATCCGGCGGCGGCGTTAGCTAGCGTTTTAAAAGCTTTATATTTTAAAAGGTGGAAGACCGGGATGCTTCATACTTTGTATATAGATGCCTCATGTTACCAAGTTTCCGCCAGTCACATGTCCAATATCCTTGACCACATTTTCATGGTTCAGTGACTACTTGAGAAAAAAAGTTAAGATTTTTTGTAATGTTAGATTCTCTCTTATTATAAGTAATAGGATAACTATGTTTGGTATGTGCGTACCTTACAAGGTCCTAATGCCCGTCAGACAGTTTTCACTTGACCTCGACCTCATTTCATGGATCAGTGAACAAGGTTAAGTTTTGGTGGTCAAGTCCATATCTCAGATACTATAAGCAATAGGTCTAGTATATTCGGTGTATGGAAGGATTGTAAGGTGTACATGTCCAACTGGCAGGTGTCATCTGACCTTGACCTCATTTTCATGGTTCTGTGGTTAAAGTTAAGTTTATGTGTTTTGGTCTGTTTTTTTTATACTGTATGCAATAGGTCTACTATATTTGGTGTATGGAATGATTGTAAGGTGTACATGTCTAGCTGGCAGGTTTCATCTGACCTTGACCTCATTTTAATTGTTCAGTGGTCAAAGTTAAGTTTTTGAGTTTTGGTTTTTTTTTCTAATACTATATGCAATAGGTCAACTATATTTGGTATATGGAAATATTTTATGATCTATATGTCGGTCGCACAGGTTTTATTTGACCTTGACCTCATTTTCACGGTTCATTGCTCAGTGTTTTGTGTTATGGTCTGTTTTTCTTAAACTATAAGCAATAGGTCAGCTATATTTGTTGTATGGAAGAATTGTTAGCTGTACATGTCTGTCTGGCATGGTTCATCTGACATTGACCTCATTTTCATGGTTCATTTGTCAATTATTAGTTTTTTGGTTAATGTTAAGTTTATGTGACAGTTGTAATAAAGCTTTATATATAGGACTATCAACATAATATCAATGATTAATAAAGAAGGCGAGACATTTCAGCGTGTGCACTCTTGTGTTAAGTTTTCATGGTTTGGTCTGTTTCTTGTATACATGTATAATAAGCAATATGTCAATCATATTTGGTGTATCAAATGATTGTAAGGTATACATGCATATGTCTGTCCGACCTTGTCCTCATTTGCATGGATCATTGACAATGTTAAGAGAACCTTGTAGTAAAACTTTATCTTTAAGGACTATCAACAGTAAAGCAGGTGAGGCATTTCAGCATGTACACTCTTGTTACAGATATATTAAATAAACATGTAAAAATGTGAATCTGGCTTTGCTACATATATATGCTGTAAATACAACATAGAAAGTTGATTTTTATTGTCCAAGTTCTATGAAAGAACAGTTCACAGATTGTCACATTCTGCCTTGTGATCCAGGTAAATACGGTTTGAAATTATCGATCATCATCGAATTCTTAAGTAAGGCTTTCCATCTATTATTTAACATTATATCTCAGTTATCTGTCCAGGTTTCAAGTAGACTTAAGTGGATCCCATTCAGTTTTACGTTGCATTGTCATTTTTGTCTCACCTGTGACAAAAGTCGCAGTATGCGACACATAGGCAGAGCTATCCGCCAGTGGCAATGTAAACTATTTGTATAAAGCTTTATATTTCAGAAGGTAGACGACCTGTATGCTTCATACCTTGTATGCACATACCTTATATTACAAAATTTACGTCTGTCATATGTCCATTGTCCTTGAACTCATTTTCATGGTTCAGCGACTGCTTGAAAAAGAACTATAGTTTTTTTGTCATGTGAATTTCTCACTTATTTTGAGTAATATTGGATAACTTTTTTTGGTATATGGGTTCCTTGCAACGTCTACATGTCTGTCAGACAGAGTTCACCTGACCTTGACCTCATTATATGGATCAGTGATCAAGGTTCAAGTTATGTGAATAGGTCCGTTTCTCAAATACTATAAGCAGTAGGTCAACTATATGTGGTGTATGGATTCATTGAAAGGGGTACATGTAAGTTCGGCAGGTTTCATCTGACCTTCACCTCATTTTCATGGTTCATTGGTCAATGTTAAGTTTCTGTGTTTTGGTATGTTTTTCAAATACTATAAGCAATAGGTCAACTATATTTAGTGTACAGGATGATTGTAAGGTGTACATGTCTGTCTGGCAGGGATAACATGACCTTGACCTCATTTTCATGCATGATTCATTAGTCAATGTTAGAGTTTTTGTAATTTGGTCTGTTTTTCAAGTACCATAAGCAATAGGTCAACTATATTTGGGAATAATTGTAAAGTGAACATGTCTGTCTGACAGGATTTATCTGACCTTGACCTCATTGTCATGGATCTTTGAAAAATGTTAAGTTTATGTGATACGTGCAGTAAAACCTTTATCTTAAATACTTCCAGCATAACATCAATGGTCAGTAAAAAGGCGAGACATTTCAGTGTATATGCACTCTTGTTATAATTTTGAAATATGATGTAGGTCTAGTAGGTAAGTTGTAAAAAAATCACTAAATAAAACACAGGACTTAGGTTACCGTGCTATTTTTCGAGAAAATTTAGGCTAAAAATTGGTGATTTTACATTTTTGTAAAAAAGTTAATCATTGTCATATATTGATAAGATTGGATTCATTTTTAAGCTGTGATAATTGGGGGAAATAATTCCACATAAGAATGATTATTTTGTTAATCAAATGTTACCATGCTTGAAATCACGAATAAGATGCTAAAACTGCAATCTTTTTTTTTTTTATTTTTATTGCGGAAATCATGCATTCATGCTTTCTCGAAATACCAAATAAAAAAATATATGTCACTTTGCTGGATTCGTACAATTTGTGCTGCAAGGTATATATTGATTATTCCAAGCTACTTGTGAATAAGACTGTTTTAAAATACCTCTCCCTTTTTAATCACAGTCAAATCTTTTTTCTTATTTCCTGTCCATTTGTATACATTATTAACGTTTTTAACGTTGGCATAAATATTTCTTTGTTTTCTAGCAATGTGCAGTTTACTCTCCATATCCTTATACTGAAAAATCCTACGATTACGAAAATTTTGATATCTGCTTTTTCCGTAAAATACCAATTAAGCGTTGTTATTTATGATTGAGTTACATGGGTTGACCTGAGGT